ATAAATTTTGATAGTAATGCTGAATTTTTATTCCATTTTTGATCTAATAAAGATAAAGTCTGAGTTACAGCTACTTTATGAGTATTGACACAAGAGTAAGATTTCCCTTCTTTAAATAATGAAAACAAATAAGACATCAGATCCTTGTCAGAAATTTCATATACATTTTTGTTTCGTTTATTACACCAAAGAATGAATTTTCGCCATGCAAGGTCGTATTGTTTTTGGGTCGATCCTCTCCATGAAGACAAGATGATGAGTCTAATGTCCTTTGGAAATTCTTTATCCTCCAAGGCTTTCCAGAGAAAACTGCGGCGGCTAAGATGATTTTCTTGTTCATGGGGTGGTTTCTGTTTCCATCGGTCAGAAGATCTGCATGTCTTGGCAGTCTAACTGGAATTGAAACAATCATTGATAGTAAAAGGGGAAACCAAGTTTGAGATCGCCATACAGGAAAAACCACAATAGCTCTATCTACCCTATCTTCCTTGATCTTATTGAAAACTCTTCCTAACAGATGAAAATGTGGAAATATATAAGGTATTAATTCTGTCCACAGAAAAGAAAAGGCATCAACTTTCCATGCATTTGGACTAAAAGACCAAGAAACATACCTTTGAATTTTAAAATTGTTACCTAATGCAAAAAGATCTACATCTGGACTAAAGAACTGTTTTGTAATTCTATCAAAAATTTCTGATTTTAGACTCCATTCACCTGATGTAGTAGTTTCCCTAGAATAATAATCTGCTACCTCATTTAATTTTCCAGGGAGATACTGACAAGTTATCCATATATTCCTTGTACAACACCACTGCCAAATATCCTTTGCTAAATAATCCATGTCTTTTCAAACCATTCCTCCCATATTATTTACATAGGAAATGGCTGTCCTATTATCACATTTTATACCGACATGAATATTTGTTTGATCTTTAAAAAAATACTTTAAAGCAAAGAATATGGCCAATAACTCCAAATAATTTATATGGAACTTTTTCTCTCTTTCTGACCACTGTCTGCTAAAGTAATCTGTTCTAAAAACAGCACCCATTCCTACACAAGAGGCATCAGATTCTATCCAAAAATCTATGGGCAGTAATCGAATAAGTTTACCATTTTTTATTTCGATATTTTCTATCCACCAAACTATTTCATTCTTACTTTGACTAGACAATTTTATATTTCCATCGTAATCATCACCATTTTCATTCAATGCCTTAACTTTGTCCCTTTCTAAAGATCGGTAATAAAGGGGTCCTATGGAAACTGCATTAAATGCATGTACAATAAGCCCTATGAAAGTTGCCACTTCTCTAATACTAATACATTCTTCCTGCAATAAATTTTGAGCAGTACTTTTTATCCTATCTATTTTCTCCCTTGGTAAAAATACCATGAACTTTTTCGAATCAATTATCAACCCAAAAAATTCAATTACTTGAGTTGGTTTTGTCACGGTTTTTTCAAAGTTAACATAGAAACCTAATGAATGTAAGGTATCTATAATGAATTGAGTATTCTTCATACAATAAGCCAAATTTTGATTCATAATTAAAGAATCATCCAGATAATAGGAACATCTGATACCAATGGATCTAAAGTAAGCATACACAGGTTTTAAAATCTTTGTGAAAATTCTGGGCGCTGAAGACAATCCGAATGGTAAAACCACAAAACAATAAACCTTTCCGTTCCATTGAAAACTCGAATATCTCTGAAACTCTTTTGCAATTGGAACACTAAAATAAGCATCTTTAAGATCGACACTACAGATAAAATCTTCTTTCTGTAAAATACTCAAAATTTGATTTAAATTTTCTTGTTTAAATTTTTCATACGAGACAAATTCATTTAGAATTCATAAATTTATCACAGGTCTGAGTTTCCCATTTTTCTTAGGAACAACAAATATATTAGAAATAAATAGAGCATCATTTTCATTTATTTCTCCTAATGCACCTTTTCTAAGAAACTCCATTATCTCTTCGTTTACGATAACAGATTCTTGGTCATTAAAAGAAATTTGAGATGGCTTTTTTGATTGATAAGGAATCTCATCAAACTCAATCTCATAACCCTGGATTGTCTTCAGAACCCATGAATCCTTAATGATGTTTTCCCATTGTGTTACATGATGTCTAATTTGACCAACACTTACCGTGTTTGTCTCACTCAGTATTTCTCTCGTCTTCCTCTTTTTTCCTGTCTCGAATCTCGAGTGTATGTGTTCCTTCCCCCTAAAAAAGGCCTGTTTGATCCTCTACCTCTGCCATAGTAATAGTTGTATGGAAAGTTTCTTCTTCCCCTGTTGCCCGAGTTGTTATAAGCACCACTAAATTTATCAACCCTTTTGTACTTGTCAAAATCTGACAACTCTTTAATTTTCTTTTGGATATCTGATCCAAATAACAACTCCGTAACAGGTTGTGAGGCATTGCATATGTCCGAGAACCTGTTTGGCAAGACCTTTCTCAAAAGAAATCTTCTTTTCTGAGACAATTGATACACTGAATTACACAACAGAATAATTGACTGTTTAATCAGATTTCTAACTTCCTTCATTTTCTCATCTGTTTTTGACATTTCAGCTATTTTGAGCAACGGAATAATACCTGTTGCTATTGTTTTCTGTACAGCTTGAAAACCTGAGTCTCTACTTTGAGCAAATTTGGGCATAATATTCCATATGTCTGTGTTTACTCGTGGGGCTAACAGATAAGTGCAATTAGCTGGTCTTGGATTACTCTCTATTATCTTCTCTGTTTCGCCCTCTTTAATACAGAGAGTGTTAACCATGTTAGCTAATTTATCATCAACGTTCTTCCCTTTTTTATCGGTTGTAAACCAATCTGGAATGTCCCAATCATTATCTAACTCTTCATCATGACGTTTTTCATCAGATTCTTTGTCATCCATGAAAAAATCAAAATCATTTCCCTCATTTAGACTTGAGCCTTCACGCTCATTATTATTAACATCAAGGTCCACACTGGACTCTTGTTCTAATTGATCTAATTGATTCAGTTTATCTTGCTGAAGATAATAAATGCACCCAATTATATCATTTATACCCATCATTTCCTTGAATTTGTCAACACTCACAGTGTCCATGTTTAACATTACACTAGTAATGTCATTACCAGAAATTTCAACTTGTTTATTTTTCTTCGCTTTAGTGGCATTACTGCCTGGCCCTTTACGTTTGCTACCTTTTTTACTTGCCGAAGACGGCTTCGCCGTCGACGTTGAAGGCCCTTGTTCATCATCATTAGGTGCATTTTGCACTGCAGAACCTACAGTTGCCCTAGTTTATATTCTTCCTAGTTTAGAAGCGAGTTTTTTCTCTGCTTTTCTAATATCCTCGCTATTAAACCCCTCAAAAGATTCATCGTCCGACTCTGCCATTATCGAGAGTACGTCAGAATTTTCTGAGGACATGCATGTAAATTTCACAACAAACCATGAAATTCACGTGAACCACGTGAAAGCCCAGACCACGTCTGAGAAACAATAACACACTTAGAAAATAACTGTGTATACAACACGTAAGTTAAGACTTCGTCTAAACTCCAATTTAATCAAAATATTTCGAAGTATACCTTAAAGCCCGCACAACGTGCGCCAAGAAAAATATGAGTGATTCAAGCATGGCGGTCGGTATTTATACTGGTGATGTCACATGGGTTTTAATTTCTTTGAATAGCGAGCCCGCATGTTATTAGTCAAGAAATATGCTATTGATACTCTGAAAGCCGAAGGCTGTATGAAAAGAATGTCTATGTCGAGTCTGATTTGAGTACGATTGGGCCATTTTTGACAGAGTTACATGTCCCTTTGATTTAGAAAAATTCCAATTACATTTAACACGATACATGACAAATAGCGTGTTGCAAGTCAAACACAGTAAGAGACCTAATATATAGGTGAATCTTAATTCATCAAACTAGTGCTGTCATCAAAACAATGCTGATTAACACTATATCGAACCCTATATGTGTTTCTGCGTCAATATCTGACATTCGCGATTACTTTATTAAACGGGAGTTTGTGCAACACGTATCCCCCCCCCCCCCCCCGGACACACATTATAAGGATTTGATGGATTGTACCCAAAACAGAACCTCACATTCTGAGTTTCATGTCCCTATGTGCAACCTCTAAAAAAGAAAATAAACGGAAACTGCAAATAATCGGAATTTTTAAGGGCATTACTCTGTTTAAAATTGCTCGATCGAACCCACAATTGAATTTGACCTAGATTTTCTTATGATAAATATGTATATCAAATTTTATTATCAAACATCATCCCATTTCAAGATCATTTTGCATCACCAAGTATGTCGTTGAGTTCAATACAGCTCAGTCGTAAAATTGATTCTTCGCGGTGACAATGATTGTTTGTGTAGTTCAGTCGGTACATTATCTACGTAGATGTCTATATTGTGACAAACAGATTGAGAAGATTAATATGATGATGAAAGTCATTGTCCTAAGATAAATACATGTATTCTGAACCACTTGACGAGTGAACTTTCAGTAACTTTGCATTGAATAACTAATTATTCAGGTAAACTGATTTCATGAATATAAATTATTTTGGAAAGCAATCGAATGAAAATGAAAACAAACTTGTAAGAACTGTAGGACAAACTGGACTTCCAAATCACAGGGGCTGGTAACTAACTATATTTGATTTAACGTAATCACTACAAAGGTTTAAATTATATTACATTACAATATTACATTACCTTTGAAGACTGATACCTTACTGTATACTCTTTACATTGGCGTCGGAAGAAATCTGAAAGGGGGGGGGGGGCTAAACCAACAAAAAAGGTAACCCCCAATTTTCAATGTTATATAATGTGTATCTTTGCAAAAAAGTCTAACCCCCCACCCCCGTCCGACGCCTATGCTTTAATTAGTTCTCCAATGTTAGAATTTTATTGCGATATTGACAAGAATTTCTAAAGAGTAGAAATTACTCGTTCTTATTTATGCCTGGCTTTTAGAATGATTACTTTCACAAATAATTTCATAACTGTTACAGCTCCGTTTATTTAGCCTACCAAACTCGAAGCAGCTTCGTCACAAATACTGCACGTTCTTTTGCATAAAAATTTTGCTTTTACTGGATCGCTGCATATATTTACAGTTTTAACAAGATGGGCACAATTGCTCTCAGCATCTTCACAACCAGACAAAATAGCTACGTCTGTAGGTGGTGCTGTGTATGGAGCATGCGTACTTCCAGTTGTTGTTGAAGTTGGAGCAGCTGTCGGGAAACCTGGATTCACGTGACTGGTATAAGATTGAGAGCTATGAATGTTTGTCACATGTTGTGAACCAGTAGAACCGCTGCACATGTTGCAAGTTGAAGCACATAAAAGTTGCGCAGAAACCGGCATCGAACATATATCTATGTCGGCGACTAAAACCTGACAATTTAATTGTTCGTCTCGGCAATTCGGATCTGGTTTCTATGGAAACAAAAGTGTAAATTAAGGTATTTTTGTTCGAAATGCATGATATTAATCATATTTGAAAACTAGACCTGAGTATACCATTGTGGTTTTGCTTGTTGATGCTTTCTCTGTGGAACTTGTGGAACTTGATGTCATTATAACAGACGTAATCACTGGCAGAGATGTAGAGTGGGTGGTCGATGTCGAAACTATAAAATGAAATACAATCAAGTATATGTAGATAAATATACATCAAGCTCAAAATGTACATTGATACAATACAGATCTGGGCCATGGTTAACATTATCCTCTAGAAAATCAAAGTGCTTCTTGTCATGATCAGACAAGCGCATTAATTACTAGACGGTGTTTAATAGAATGGTTTAACAGTAAGAAAAACTTCAACCAATAAAGGACTAAATAAACGATCACGTTGGAAATCGTGCGTTCGTAGAGTATGCTCTTGCGTGCTAGACATTATCCACATAGGCGGTTTTCACTCGTATGGATATGAAGAAAAGTTGGCATGAAAAATTGATTAAGTAAAGTCTGTCCGTTTTAACACTGGTTTCCTTGCGATATCTTGAAGCCTGTGGGCTTTTGCAAAAACATAATAAACCACAGCCCCCAAAGGCTTAAGAAAGACCCTTTTTGTTTAAGGTCAAATGCCAAGGTCATTAATGCATTCATTGTGTGTGTGTGAGTGTGTAACTTAAATTCCCGGGCAATATCGCAAGAAGCTTTTTGAGTTTTGCAATTAAATTTTAAACGATAACTCGCTGTGGTCTTATCCGCTCTTATTTAATAAAGCCTCCCACTTAGATGTTTTTTTCTGGGGACATAGATTCTCTGAATAAGTTTGTTCTTAAATTATTTTTACTAAGTATCTAAATTTAATTGAAGTCTAAGATTTTTTGATGTCCTACTACAATTTTGATACGTTGAGGACTGTGAGTTTTTTGTTTTTTTTTTGTCTTAGTCGTAAGATTTTTGTTGAAAAGGCCACTGAACCCCCAAAACGAAATAGATATTGCCAATCAGAAAATCAAGCATCTTTTCAACAACAAGCATTAAAGATTTACATATTTTCAAATTAGGTATAAGTTTTGAACCTGATACCTGAGGATGAACATTTCTGCTCATCTGACCCATCATTACAGTCCATCTCCCCATCACAGCGCCATCTGTGCGGAATGCATGCACCACTGCTGCATTGGAAGGAACCACCGCTGCATGTTGTTTTATTATCTGTTAATATTTTTAATTCTATTAAATGTTGCTACCTTCTCATTAAGTACTTTCGCATTATTCATTCAATATACAGGGAGTTTTGCTGTATGTGTTTGGCAAACATATGTTTAAATTTAAAGTCTTGCTATATTTACGACATCCATCTTCGTCTATTCCGCTTTTACAGTCTATTTCATTGTCACAGCGCCAATTAATGGGGATGCATGAACCATCTTGGCAGTTAAACTTGTCATGAACGCAGGTGTGATTGGTGACGAGAAATCCAAATGTACCTAAAGTATTCAATTTTTTGAAATAAATTATAAGGTTTGACCCATGTAATATTTGCAAAATAATGTCTAAAAATACATGTAACCTTTACATTGTGATTAATATTCCAAGAAATAAAAGATTTTGACCTAAATGAAAAATTAAAAATTTAGTCCGAATTTCCTCTGCATAAGTACCCTACATTGACATTTATTCCTTTATATTTTCTTCAAATAAAAAAACATTAAAGTTTTAGGTCACCTGAGTAAACTCAGATGACCGATTGCTATCCGTTTTCGTCCGTCGTCGTGCGTTGTGCGTTAACATTTGAACATTTTCAGCTTCTTCTCTGAAACTACTCAACCAATTTCAACCAATTTTGGCATAAAGCATCTATTGGTGAAGAGGAACAAACATTGTGAATTTCATGGTCCCTGCCCCCCCCCCCGGGGCCTGAGGGGTGGGGCCAAAACCACTATAATTGATACAATTTTTATAAACCTTCTTCTTTACTACTGGATATCAAGCAGTCAAACTGTTTGCATGATTGCAATCAGCATTGAGTCCTCTACCAAAATTGTGAAATTCATGGCCCTCGGGATCAGGGGTTCTAGTGCTAGGGCGGGGCTATATAGATCATAGAGTGAAAATGCATTATTACTTTGAAAATCTTCTTCTCTGCTCCTGGGCATTAAATAAACAAACCAAGTACATAGTTATGTTGAATAAGGCTGCCTCTTACAAAATTGTGAATTTTATGGCCCCAGGCTCAGGGGTTCTGGTGTTACGGCGGGGCTCTATTGATTATATAGTGAAAATGCATTAATTCTTTGAAAATCTTCTTCTCTGCTCCTGGGTATTGAATAAACTAACTAAGCACAAAGGTATGATGGGCAGGAGTGCCTCTTCCAAAATTGTGAATTTTATGGCCCAGGGGTAGGGGGCTCTGGTGTTACGGCGGGGCTCTATTGATTATATAGTGAAAAATATACATTCATTCTTTGAAAGTCTTCTTCACTGCTCCTAGGTATTAAATAAACTATGTAAGTACAAAGTTATGATGGACAAGAGTGCCTATTCCAGAATTGTGAAAAACATGGACCCAGGGTCAGAGGTTGTTGGGGGGGGGGGCTCTATTGATTATATAGTGAAAATACATTAAATCTTTGAAAATTTTCATCTCTCCTGGGTATTAAGCATATGAACTACATATATAGTTATGATGAGTAAGGGCCCTTTCTCCAGAATTGTGAATTTCAAGGCCCCAGGGTCAGGGGTACCAGTGTGTGGGGGGGGGGGGCTCTACTTATATACTGAGAATGAATCTGCTCCTTTGTATTAATCAAACATTATTTTTTGATAAACAAGGGCGCCTTTTTAAAAATTGTGCCATGTGTGGATGTAGGGTCAGGGGTTTATGTCACAGTGTTAGGGGCACAACTAATTATTGCTGAATATTACTGGTTAGTTGAAATGCATTTTTGTTCCCCTACCCTGCCTATGGATATTAAGTAACCAAATTAAGCAATTGCTAAGTGTATAAGTCTGGCGTTATAATGAGCAATGGTGCCTCTTTCAAAATTGTGAATGCCATAGCATCTAGCTTAAAACATGAAGCAAATTCAGTCACTTGAAAGTTACTGCATGATGCTCAGGTGACCTATAAGGCCCATGGGCCTCTTGTTAAATTGACATTGAGCTAAAATTTAGTTATTTTATCCATTTAGAACAACTATGGATTTAACTTTATAAAATTTCCTTCTGTTTTCTGAATCCTGAGTAAACGTCATCCTTAAGATCGATACTTTGGATAGATTTTTTTAATGTGCGGTGTCTGTTGTTAAAAAAGGAGTTTTATGATATGCACGACTTCTAAATGATTATGGCTGTCAACAACTTCTCGAAAACCTTTATTCAAAATACTCAGTAAGTAACATTTTCACAGTATTCTACCCTTTTCCATACCCCACAGCAAGCAAAAATTGTCTGGTATATATATTATCATTATTACAGTAACTTGATCCAAGGAGTCATATCATATCGAGTTGACAGGCGGGATCATCAGATCAAACAAGACGCGAAACATGACATCTAATCCCAACTCTGATGTTTTAGAGGTTCACGTTTGCTCTCAGAGTTAACTCATATTAGAGGGTCGACGAGCCTTGAAATATTAATATGAATGGGTGTGGCTGGTCACCAGGGGATGCTCAGTCCTGCATGGCATCCAATCTCACCTCTTATGTTTTAGAGGCCCATGTTTGCTATGCTACTGAATTGTATTGTTTGAATATACTTCTGAACTTGACTTCTGTTCGTCATCTCAATACATTTCAGACAATATATAGTTTCATATTAAAATATATCTTAAACTACATTACAGTACGAGTCTAAATAGATTATAAACTTTCATTTGTAGACAAGTGTCGCGTGAATACATAAAGGATTGAATTTCAAGTTTTATCTTAAAGTCGCATATCCTTAAATCAAACACAATAAAAACTATAACCCAAGTTATCGTAAGTTCATTCAAATAGTTCTTGTTTACTACTAGAAGTTACTACTTCTTAGTAAATGGATACTAAATGGCATCAAGACTAACCTGTAAAAAAAGAGAATAAGGTTAGATATTTCGCCACCATGCGTCTTATCGTTGTTGATTCCACAAAGATAATGCCAAGTGTTGAAGTAAATTTTGTGACTAGTTATTCACCTCCAGCAATCTTTAACATGATCTACAATAAAATGGTTACGTATTTAATATATTCTGACATAAGATAGTTGTAGCTGGATGAAATTAATAAAAAACGAAAAAAAATTAAAACTTAATGTCATGTCTTTTTTCTCTCCCCCTCCCTCTCTCTGCAGACAAGGTGGCTGTCAAAAAAAAAATAAAGGTGTGGGAGTGGATCATTAACGTTTTCTATTTGAATGAAATCTACAATGATGATAGACACCTAAAAAGGAACATAATTCAATTATTGTAAACGTAATTATTAAAACAAGAGCCTCCCTTTCACTATCTATATGTATAGACGTATAAATACAATCAAAGTACTGAGAGTACTGATAGGCGGAAGCATGATTGCAAGTTCTCATGTGCAAAATTTTAATGACATATATTTGAAGCATAATCTGTTTTAAAAGGGGGGATGATAAATACTT